TTTGTAGAAAATGAACATCCCTGTGTGTACGGCTATGTGGCAAGCCTCATTTTTATGTTTGCATTCTCAATAATTAGCAAAAGGGATTGGTGAATAAAAATCACTGCATAAATGATGTGGAGATGAAAGAATGTGGTCATCTAATCTGAAATTCTTCGTTGCAAGAATCCCTTGGGCCTTTGTCCAATGCTCAGACCCCAACAGCATCCACACTCACCTCACAGGCCTGCATTGCAAAATTCAATGTGCAGGGTGGCACAGATACCCTGTGCTTGATTGGTTTCATCCTTTATAATAGTGGGGGTGAGTAAGGAAAAGGGAGAAATCTTGAATGTTGTCTCCTAAACCATCAATTCCTCAGTAATTTTAATGGTATAATATTTATGTCTTTTGAAATGACAAATTAATCTTTCAATAGCAGTGGGTAATCTCAGCATTTTGATAGTATCTAAGGTCCAGCTGACAGTTCATTTTACTACCTTTCTGCTTCTTAGCAATGAATGTAGAATTTGTGCCATGTATGTGTTTAGTTAAGTGAGAAGAAGTCATTTGGGGGTTGATCATGCAGACCAAAGTGTCCTAAATAAAGACTGAATAAGGGACCAGCCTCTCCTAATATTCCTCTTGGAATAAATTCAGCACACATTTTTTCTTGTTTAAGCAACAGGTGGTTGCAATCATCACTTTTTTTCCCTAACTCATAAAATATAAAATGTCAACTTCTGAGGTCCAGAGGGGAAAGAAAAGGACACATACTAACATCAAGGACTAATTCCATAGTAATGGGGAGGAAAATTGCAGAAAGCTCATAGTAAGAATCTTTGGAGACATAACTTAATACAGCAGTTATTGGTACTGTACTCCTTTCTGTGCTAACTTCTATTCCAGCTTCATTGTTTGATGGGCCTTTTATGAGATGAAATAACCAGGAAAATACTATAAATTTGAAGCGTGAAGAAAGAAAAAAACCATTCAAATCTGGATTTAGTGTTTCAAACCAGGATATTCAAGAAATACCAGTGTGGGGGCTAGTGAGATGGCTCAGTGGTCTAAAGCACCTACTTAGAACAAGCTTAGCAAAGCACAGGGACTGCGGTTCAATCGCCCAGCACCACATGCCAGCCAGCCCCGACCCCTGGTGGGCTGAGCTGACCACACACACACACACACACACACACACACACAAATAAATAAATAAATAAATAAAAAGAAGCAAGTATTAAAAAAAAAAACCTCTATATTAAAAAAAAATATACCAGTGTGCCTGGATGCATAGAGTGTAGAATATGTATGTTGACACTGTAGTTATCTCAAGTTGTTGGTTCTTTGATGTCCCAGCCATTGCTTAAGGAGGAAGAAAGAGACAAGCAGTATAAAGGGGCCACTCAGTACTGGTGACTTTCTCTCTATGTTAGGATTAGGGAAGGATACTTTTCCCTTTGCCTCTACTTCAGGGATGGAAGCAAATAGTTTTCAAGAATAAAGTCTCCATCAAAGAGATTCAAGCACTCTAAATTTTTGTGCTTTCTATTCAGGTGTTTCTGGATAACTTCTATTCCTGAAGTCTAATTTTATACCTACTCAGTGTAAAATTCAGCACCCAGGAAGATTTCATTTTCTACTTTATATTTGATATCTGATTGGAAAATAGAAGACTCTAGTTAATATCTCCAGAAAGCCAACACTAGTGTTGGGAGCATAAAGATTAAAGAACTGGGATTTATAAGCAGTTAGCACAAAGTAATCTGAGAATTTATTTTCCGGGAGAGAAACCTTTACGTATTTGTATGCAATTGCTGGTCATGTGCCACAGTTTTCTTAGTAAAGTCCTGGTTCATGTTTCTTGTATGATTATAATAAGACATCCTTTCACTCTTAAAAATGATTCAGTTTAAGGAACGGATTATATGCTCACTCTGTGGCCAAGCCATGTGAGTGTTGGGCATGAAGGCCCTAAAGACATAGGATTAAAGCTGACTTTGTAGGACTGGAAGGTAGCATTGTATGCATTTGTCTGGCAAGCAAAGGTCCTGAGTTCAATACTCTGTACAAAACCAAACCAAAGCTGACTTTGTAGAAAATGAACATCCCTGTGTGTACGGCTATGCAGTGAGGAGAAGGGAGCAAAGCAGGGAAGGCTGGCAGGCTACTCTGCAGCAGGTTGGACCTATAGACCATCCAAAGCAGTACCATTTAAGGTGAAATTTGGTATCATTCTCCTCTGATAAACTTGTATCAGTAGGGCCAGTGAGATAGCTCAGTGGACAAAGTGCCTACTTAGGCAAGCACAGGGACCAGGATTGATCCCCGGTACCACATGCCATGCTGTGCCCCTCCCCTCCTGCTTGCCCTGAGCAGGTCTCAGAGCCAGATGCAGTGGCACACACCTGTAATCCTAGTGCTGAGAGGCTGAAAACAGGAAAATCATTATGAGTCTGAGCTGCATAATGAGACCCTGTACCAAATACATTAAAAAACAAAACAAAACAAAATAAAACTTGTACCAGTGCCTCCAGAACCTCTGTTACAAAGCCAACTGTGTACATTAGTGTGTTTGATGGTTCAGGGAAAAGAGTTTAGTGTCAGCATGGTGCACTGGTGGAGCAACACCCCTGGGAGGGTGAGATGACCCAGCCAATGGCAAAGCAGGAGTGCAGAGTGGAGGGCTGCTGAGAAAATCACAAACCATTCATTTCTTCTCCAGAATTACAAGAGATATGGAGAAATGTATCTGTTGGAAGAAGTGGACTCACAAAGCTTTAACCCATGTGGGATGATATTTGAGCTAGTTTTCTAGAATCTCAAAGGATGGGGAATTCAGTGAATTTTGACCCGAAGTCATCAGTTTCAGAGATGAACTTTAGCAGAAACAGCCTTAAAAAACCTTATTGAATTACTTAACATATTTTTGAAGATATTGTTTATTCAGTTGTCTTTTAACCAAGATCCACAGGAAAGCTTTCTTTTAAGTTTTAATACTGGGGATGGTTAGGATTTTCTTGATAACTAATTTATTTGTCTTATAGACTCTGTGACTCATGAAACTGATCTTATTTTATTGTCTTCCAAGACTGCTGGGTCAAAATCTGGGTCTGTCTACAGCTAACATGGCATCTTTCAATATACAACTTGGGCTTTGATCTTTACTGTGTTTCCATCTCATCTCTCCTTTTCTTGTTTTCCTTCTGACCCAATTTCTTCACTGACTTATTTTTAACTTATTATATCATAATTATTACTAACAGCTTTAATCCATTTTGGAAAACTAAGGGGAAAAATACACAATTATGTAGATTCTCCAGAAAGTTGAGATTCTTTATTTTCCATTTAGCACTACTTTCTATGCATAATACATTTACTTTCTACAAAAACAATGTAAGACTGAGTTTCCTCATGGGTATGTGGTTTTGTACATGCCTTCAAATCTTCTACAAACCTCATAACACCTCATAACAGTAAACAAGTAGAGAATTATGTTAAGATTGGACATCTCATCAAGGAATAAAGTATTGGAAATTAAAGTAGGAGGAAAGAGATAGCAGCTGTTAGAAGGACATGGGATGCAATAAGAGAGAACAACTTGTTTGGGTTTTTTGTTTCTTTTTTTTTTTTAATGTATTTGGTATAAGGTCTCACTACGCAGCTCAAACTCACAGTGATCCTCTTGTTTCCAGGCTCCCCAGTGCTGCGATTACAGGCATGGGCCGCCACGCTCAGTGTGTCTCTGGGGGCGGGGCCAGCATGGCATGGGTGACCAGGGATTGAACCCTGGTACCTGTGCTTGCCAAAACAGGTGTTTAGTCAACTGAACTATCTTGCTGGCCCTTATTTGTTTCTTTATGAAGCTAAAGTAAGAGCTTGGATACTGAGAATGATGTCCTTCATCAGCTAACATTGGTCAGGAAAGTCAGTAGGGACAGCATGAGGGGATAACTTGAGCTGCTTCAATCAGCAAATTCAGCATTGTAACCCCTGATGCATCCTGGGTAGACAGCCACAGCTAACTTTGTCCTATTTGAAGTTTTTGTTAAGCCTACATGGTTTGATCATTAGAAGAGTAAGTGTTTATATATTATTATTTTATTTTATTTTTTTGGTGGAACCGGGGTTTGAACTCAGGCCCTTGTGCTTACCAGGCAAGCGCTTATTCTACTGAGCCATCTCCTCAGTCCTGACCATTAGAAGAGTGACAGAAATATTCTGTACATTATTCCCCTTATAAGAGGTTGTCGCCCATCTTGAAAACATGTTATGTTTGGCCTAGTGCTATTATTGCTTATGAATACTTAATAGATTGAAAGAAACACAGGACTCTATTAGTGCCAGAATCACAAGCTACATATTTTATTAGATTTTAAAGGGGAAAAGTAGAGAATGAAAATAACTTCAGTAAAAATCCATAACTCGTCTGAAAGAACCAACTTTGGCATTTGCAGCCCCCCAGTCAAGGTATCTTCTATACTCTCCTGGCCTCAGCAGGTACTGTCTCCCTCTGTAGCTGGGCATCTCATAGAGGATCCAGGAACCCTCCAGCACATTGAGGGAGTGGATCTCATTGAGGTGGAAGCGATCCTGAAGGGAAGGACAGTCATCTGTGATCTCTGACATCTGTCCTCTGAAGTCATCTCTCTCATAGATCCTCATTCTGAAAGTGCCAGAGTGCTAGAGACAGAAAAGAAAAAGAAAATGTCAAAAATGGAAAGAAGCTAGAATTTTAGCCTACGTTCTTCTCTGCTCACACTAGCCCAGAATTTCCCTGTGTCCAAATTTGCTCCCAGATTTCAGAGTTCAGGAGCTGTCCTGCTCTAATTGCTCACAGCTAGCAAATGTAGTGCTTCCTAGGCCAAGGGAGGAACAGAGCTTAGCAGTTCATCAACTTCCATCTACCCATCTCTAGTCCTTGGGAATTAAAATGTGCTTAAAATAAAATTTATCACATCATTTTAGTGCTGGTTATTTGATATAGCCCTTCTAAAAGTAGAAAAGTAGGAATCTTTGGTAAGGTAGGTATAATTGGATAGACTACAGATGTTAAAAAGGAGAATCAATAGTCAGCTCTCTTCTCTAAGATTCACTACTGGTTTTCATGTATGATATGGAACATAGGATTAGAAATTTTTGTGATAAATAAGATGATAAATTTCCATTTTCTTTGTTTTGAAGTCTTAGTTTCAAGGCAGATCACAACCCATCCAATTCTTTAGATTCCTTCCTACACTCAATGAAGTAATTTCCCTGAGCAGCAAAAATCATTGCTGTCAAAGCTCTGTTTCAGTGACACTGTATCTCATGCCTTTAACAGCCCGCTGGTCTATGAACTCTTGCATCACTCCCCAGAAAGTACTGAATCTCAAACTTTAGTTTTGAGTTTGGTCTTTCCTATAATTTTCTATTGCTAGGTGAAGGCAGAAGATATGGGCCTATCTTCCCTAGGAAAAATAACCAAATAGAAAAGTAAGGCCAGGCAAGCTGAGGTACTTTTAGCAGCTCCCAGTTCACAAATTTTGAGAGACTGGATTTCTCACTTGACGTGAACACTTTTAAAAAATTATACCTTGAATAGATAATAAATTCAGTCTCTGTCCTATATACTACTTTTTCTTAATTAGTCTTTATTCCTTAATTTTTTAGAACTACATTGAAAATGTATAATCTGGGAACATGATTCTTAAAAAAGCACTACAGCATTCACAAAGAGTTTTCATGTGAGACACCCTTCTAAATGGTGTGGCTTCCACCCCTAGCTCTTTAATTGAACTATTTGATCTAAGATAATGTGTTTATTTGTTTTTGGTGCCGTAGATAGAGTCCAGGGCCTGAAGTAATTAAGCATGAGTTGTGTCCCTCAGCTATAGCCCCGAAACCATTAAGAGCCCCATTGAAGTAGATTTTGTTTCTTGAGATCAATGACTGGACACAACCACACTTACTTGGGGGAGGAGGCGGCAGGAGCGGATAGAGTCGCTGAGGCCCATCCACTGCTGATAGTCCGGGTAGTCGCCACGCCTCAGGAAGTACTGGTAGCCCTGGTAGTTGGGGCGCTCATAGAGCATCCAGCAGCCGCTGTCCACGCGGATGGAGTTGCAGCGGCTGAAGTAGGGCTGCAGGTTGGGGCAGTCGGTGCTGCACTCGTAGCAGCGGCCCTGGAAGCCCCGGTCCTCGTAGAAAGTGATCTGCAGAGGAAGATGCAGAAGAGTGAGCAACTTTCCCCAGCGAGGATGCGGCAGCAGGGTACTGGGTGAACCTCAGAGAGCCAAGGCTTACCTTTCCCATTTTGGAGAGAGCTGCAGCGGAGGTCCTCTCGGTGCTGTGTGGCCCTGGGGAACGCCGCTGTATATATAGCAGCCCTGACTGCTGCCTCCACAGGAAATCGCACAAAAGGGCCCATTCCAGTGAGTAAGGGGATTTGCAAGCCGCCCGCTCCCCCTCCCGCCGGTCACTGGGGTTGGCTGAATGGTTTACTCTCATTCTTTCTGGTAGGTTCGGGTTGCTCTGATTCACTAAAGCTGTTGTTGCCATCAAAGAGAAAAGACTCTTTACTCTTTTAGTTGAGCAAAGGGGTGAGCGAAACTCTATCCCTATGCTTTTTTTATAGCTTACTCTGCTAATTGACTTCTCAAAGGTAAGTAAACTTAAACGTATTCCACTCAGGGACAGGCGTTTTGTTTATTTATTTATTTATTTTTAACTTTGAAAAAAAGAGCCCAGAATTTAAATAATAAGAACATTTAAGGAAGAAAGAATCAGGAAAAGCAATCTGTGAAAGTGCTTTACAAAGCATAAAGCTTAGCTTAAATTTCTTGTTGTTTGGGAGGGAACCTCTGGTAGAGTTGTTACTGGATGGGGTTCTTAGGCTTCTGGGGGCCGCGAAGTCTGTCTTGTCCTTCTCTGTCCCTAAGCCCTAGAACTGAGGTTTGGCACACAGTAGGCCTCAATATTTAGCTCTGATGGAGGGACAGCAGACTCATGCTTGTGGTCTTCCTCTCTTTCCTGATTCCCTCCTGCCTTAAATCCTTAAGGTGACTGCCCACAACTCTCCTGATCTTTGGAATCCTTGTGCTCCTTTAGACCTCCTAAGATTTTGCTTCTCTGTGAGGCTCCTTTCTCCCTAGTGAGGATGATTTGGGAAGTGTAAGGAATAATGCAGAAACCCTGCAGGCGCTGCATGGCCCACTTCCTCAGACTTGAGGTGTTAGACAGTATCCAAGCCATACTACTGTGGGAATCTCTGGGGTTCTTGAGACAATTTTAAGGTATTCATATAATTAAGACAGTTTTCAAAGTAATTTAAACATTTTTTTGTTATTATTTTTTTATGAATGTCCAATGGGATTTTTCAGGAGGCTATGTGACATTAAAGTGCTTTGCAAAAACCATAAAATGATGTCAGCCTCTTCATTAATCGTTTTTGTTTTGGAAAATACAAGATTATTCATAAACATATTTTATGTATGTTAGAATGTACTAGGTTTATTGACCAAGGGTTTTCAGGGCCAGAAAGGAAACCCATTCCAGTAAAGATGAGTCATTGTTCCTTCCAAGGTAGAAGGGATCCAGGTGTTCAACTAACTATCAAGTGGCTAGTTGGTCTCCTCAAGGGATGGGGCCCTACTGGGACCGAGTTGGTCTGTCTTACTGGCAAAGCAGACATCTTCCATTGGTAGGAGCTGGATTACCCTGGTAAGCAAGAGTTAATGCATCATCTTCCCTTTGGCACAATCAACAATATACCCATGAGTCTGTTATGCCAGTATTAGGGTGACCGGTGGCAGAGGCTGGCCAGTATCAAGGGACCAAGTCATTCTGTCTACTTGATTATTTAATGTCACTTCCATGGCGCCCTTCAATAAGAATTAACATGAAATATAATGGTCTTCCTACTGTGACCATCCCCTTATCTCCATACATACATCTCTACCGACATCTCTTTTTTCATATTTTAAATCTTTTATTTTCTGGAAATTTGTTCATTCATGAATATCATTAGGTTATTTATGAACAGTTGGTAGACATGTGGTGGAGTCACACCTCAATAAAATACAAGTTTTCTATGTGGTTTTATTGTCTCTTTGGTGTTAGTTTGCTTTTAGACAAACATCTGTTTTATGAAAGTTTGGCCTTTCTACCTAGGGAGAGATCTGAAGATATTTTATATTTGTTTTATATTATACATTGTCTCCATGTAAAAAATGTGTAATAGTTTTTTTAAAAAATTCTATAGGGATTTAAATTTTAGAATATCCATGGTTGTTGGAAAATAGTTCTGTTTTATGTCTAAGGTGTTTGATATTCAGACAGATAGTGATGTTAAGCTTCATTGCCTCTATTACAGGTAATAATACCATTAAGCTTCTCTTCTGGATGTTTAACAACTAAAGTTAGCAGGCCAAAAATTAGAGAGATCAATAGGCTAAATGGATAGCCAATATTTTGGCCCTAGCCCTTCAAGGTCAGTGAGGACTCAGGACATAAGAGAACCTGTGCTGTGACATCCTACAACTAAGTGGTATCCCAAATTTTCTGATCAAGGAGATTATGGGGCCACAGAGAAATGTGATTGACAATGTATAGTGTGCCTAAGGAGAGTCACCTAGAGAAAAAAAATTCTCTCAGTCTTTCACAGAGAACAAATTGGTCAAGCAATGGCCCTGACTCATCCAGATGGCTGACACTGACAAAAGATCTACAAACTGCTGTACATGGTTTCAGGGTAAATCCTAAGGGGATTTGATTGACCTTGTCAGACAGCAAAAGTTACATTTTTAGTTATATAGTTCTTTTTTTTTTTTTTTACTTTATTAAAATACTGTTTATTTCACATGTATATTTGTCTCCCTACCATCTCCATGTCTGACCACCACCACTACTACTATGTCTTATCATAACATTCCATACATACTTATAACCAAGTAAAGGGTGGAGTTCCATCTTTAAAAACTAAACAGGCATTTCAGACAACACATTCTTGGCAATGGGACCTGGACAACATTTATCAAACATGGTAGGGAAAGTTCTCACTT